TATATATATATATATATATATATATATATATATATATATATATATATATATATATATAGGTGTTTCTTTCTTCATCTGTTTAATATACACAATGCAGCAGTTCAAGCCAGTTCATGTTTGTATAGCCAACATCGTCTTTCAGGTATCTTCACTCAGAAAGCAGAAATAAAATAAAAAGAATTATGCAGCGTTTGAATTTACTTTGTCCTTGTATAGTATATTGTAGTGTGCCGACAGGAAACAAATATTATATTGTTTTGTAAGCAGAATATTATATTATATTAACAGTATAATAATAAAAATTATCATTATTATTAACTCCCCCTATTTCACAACTCCTCTTCAGCTCAGACAATAAAGACGCAACGAATAAAAAAGAAGAGGAACGAGCAGTACAGAGACAGAGAATAAGAAAGCACAATGAGAAAACAAAAAAAAAACAAATAATATTACAACAAAGACAAACAATAAAGACACAAAAAAATAGAGTAGAGGAGTAAAGAAAACGAGAAAAAGAGGCATCTTTTTAAAGGGTGAATTCCGTCGTCTGTCTTTTTGTTCTTTCTTCTTTCTTTGTCACGCATTTTAAGACAGAAAATATAAATAGGTAACGCTGCATGGAGTTTCTGTTTCTCATTATTTTCATAGTAGTAACAATATTAAAATTTGTTAGTAGCATAGTATAGTGCCTCGAGGGGGGTTTGTATGTTTCTCCTGTTGGTGTAGCTGTTGATTGAAATATATGAATTCATATGCAGAAACAAACCAACACAGGAGAGAGAAGATAAAGCTGCAGTGCATGCAAATACTGATGCAAGCCCCAGCTGTTCTATTCCTTTTCTGTTGGCTGCTTAAGCCGTTGCTGCTTGCTGAAAGAACACCACTAAGAGAGGCAAAAACAAAAAAAAGAAGACGAAAAAAGAAGAAAAAATACAAAAACAAACGCCACAAAGAAAAGACTAAAAAGTTAAATCGCATGCAAAAAGAATCAACAAGGTCTGACCTTGTATGAAAAAAAAAAGAAAAATGTTGTGTTGTGGTGTTTGTTTATTTGTTGAAGGCGAAGACAACACACGCAGACAACGAAAGACAGACGAAAAGAAACAGAAGAAACAAAAGAAGAGAATTTACTAAACAGGAATGGAGCCGGAGACCGAGAAGAAGTAAAAGGTAGGGGAGAGAAGGAGAAACAAATCATAGAGAAGCAGAAAAAAAATAAAGACAGATGAGAGACAAGCAGAGCAAATATATAAAAGAAATAAAAAAATAAAAGAAAAAAAACTAAAATATGAAACTGCTGCTGCTGAGATGCTGCTGATGCCTCTCGCGCTATGCATTCCAAGAACGAACTTCTTGGCCTTCAGGGGCCTCTAGGGTCTGCAAGGAGAGCAGCAAAGAAAAAAAAAACAAATAAAAATAAATGAAAACAACAACAAATATAAACAACAACACAATATACACCGACAAACAACATGCTGATACGGAGCTAAGAGGGAAGGGGAGAGGAGAGGGCAGCAGCTGTTTCTAAGAATGAAGCAGCTGAATAAGGAATTAAAATACAGACAAAAACACAAATATATATAAAAAAAGATATTCATAATATAATATAATATAAACGTAATATAATATAATATAATATAATATAATATAATATAATATAATATAATATAATATAATATAATATAATACAATATAATATAATATAATATAATATAATATAATATAAAATAATATAATATAATATAATATGATATAATATAATATAATACAATGTAATATAATACAATACAATATAATATAATATACCTTTTCATAATCTTTGTCTTTCACATCTGCCCAGTTCGTTGATAGAACGGTTCCTCCTGACGTTTGCTGAAAAAAAAAACAAAACAAAAGAGCCTCGTCATATAATTTCTTTTTATTTATTTTGTTGATAAATTAAAAAAAGAAAGAAGGAGAAGATAAATAAAAGCAGAACAACCACAAACACAACAAACTCCTCGTCTCTGTTTAAAGAAGGAACAGAAAAATATAAGAGAAGAAAACAAACACAACACTGACACCCATAAAACAAACAACGTGAATACAAGAGAGAATTCAATCGGCCTCTCTATACAGACCCTTGGCCATATATATATATATATATATATATATATATATATATATATATATATATATATATATATTGCTTACGAAAGACTTAATCATCGCTCTTCGGGTGTCTTCATCGCCGCGGCCATAGATATCTCTGAAAAGTTTCTGCAGCGCCTGCTCCCCTTCAAGCTGTTCAGATTCAAGTTCTGCTGCTATCTCCTGAGGGTAAATATATAGAAAAGGAAGTAAAAGAAATAAAAGAATTAAAAATAAATAAATAAATTGGTTCTATACTTATTTGATACTAATTCTCTGTTATAACCAAAATAAAAATGCAGTGAAAGAAAATTCCGCATGTTTGTGTTTTCTGTTGCATCAGCTGGTGGTATTTGTATTTCTTTCTTTTTTTTTTGTTTGTAGCTGAGAGAAGAAACAACAGAAGTATTTTGTTTTCATTTAAATATAAACAAAGAATACCTTTTCCATTTTGTTCCAATCGATCTTCTTCTTAGATGAAGGATAAACTCGTGCTGCAGCATTCTGCTGCTGCTGCTGCTGCTGCTGCTCCTCATCCTGCTTCACTGCTTCTAGCGCCGCCCACGTTTCTCCTGTTTCTTTCTTCGATAGAACCACTTCAAGTTTCGTCTACAAAAAGGAGGAAAAAGAGAAAAAATTAATATGATAAGTAGCTAAAAGTATACACTCAATAGACTATATTCAATTGTTATACTGTAGGAATATACAGCCAAACAAAGTCCACTAAAAACGAAAAGAAAATACAAAAATTCATTGAAAACGGAAATGCTGGTGGCTTGAATGCAGCAGAAA